AATAAGAGTACTACCACTCTAATAATATACAAGTGGTTGTTATGCATTTTCACATTTATAGGTAATTATTTAGCTAGAATCAGATTTCTTGGTTATGGTTCACCTTTGGAGGAAGTGCAAGGCTAGTCACAGTAGAGGACTGCTTTATGAAGCCATTATTACAAGTTGTATTTTGCTCACATCCACTCATTACTTGGGTTTATACTTCTAGCCATTGTAATGAGTCTGAAAAGAGAATGATAGCATTGTGGTTTGCATTTTCCTTGTGGTTAATAGTTGCGGACCTCTCAGGCTCCTGTGGGCCATCTTTGGAAGATGTTGGTTTTTTTTTTTTAATTTGTAAAGCTCTGTGTGTGTGTGTGTGTGTGTGTGTGTGTGTGTGTGTGTGTGTGTGTGTGTGTGTGTGTGTGTGTGTGTGTTGATTGGAGCTTAAACACAGGGCCTGGGCAATGTCCTTGTGTGTGTGTGTGTGTGTGTGTGTGTGTGTGTGTGTTGATTGGAGCTTAAACACAGGGCCTGGGCAATGTCCTTGAGCTTTGCTCAAGGATAGCACCCTACCACCTGAGCCACAGTTCCAGTTCTAGCTTTTTTTTTATAGTTCAGTGGAGACATGAACCTCAAGATTTTCCTGCCTGAGCTGGCTTTGAACCATGATCCTCAGATGTAAGCCTCCTAAGTAGCTAGGATTAGAGGTGTAAGCCATGGACACCCAGCTGTTTTTCTATTTCAACCATAAAGGGATGTGATCCTTCATTCTTACAATGCAAAGAGATGACATTCTTTTGTTACTAGTTACTTATTTCAATGTTAAGGCTATTGGTAGTTACCAAGTAGACATTTTTGTTTAGTTTGTGTATTTTTAATCATAAAAGAATGTTGGATTTTTTTTCATGCTTTCTATGCATCCATTGAGATCATGTAGTTTTTGTCCTATAACATCCTTTATTCAGTTAATAGTACTTTAATTTTTTTTTGCTATTGAGCCAACCAGGTATTCTTTAATTTACAATGTTTAATTACATCAATGTGACATGTGATTAACATGCTGTTGGATTTGGCTTGCTGGTATTTTCTTTAAAGATTTATATTTGGGGCTGGGAAGGTGGCTCAGTGGTAGAGCGCTTGCCTTGCATGCATGAGGCCCTGGGTTCTATTCCTCAGCACCACATAAGCAAAAAGAAAAAAGCCGGAAGTGGTGCTGTGGCTCAAGAGGTAGAGCGCTAGCCTTGAACTAAAGAGCTGAGGGACAGCGCCCAGGCCCAGAGTACAGGCCCCACGACCGGACCCAAAAAAAAAAAAGATTTATATTTATGACAGGAAGTGGATAAATGGAAAGGGGAGGGAGTGAGAAAAATACAGTCAACAATATACATGTAGTAATAAAAGTGGGAAATGTAAAATGTGTAGGGGATTAAGAATAGAGGGAATGGAGAGAATGATGGAAGAGGTGACTGATTAGGAACCACTGCACACAAATGGACATTTTAAATTATAATCCCCTTGTATGTACAGTTGAGGTTAAATACTTAAAAAGTAAAAATTTATGTTTTAAGAGATTGGCTTGTCATTTTTTTTCTGCTTTGGGATTAGCATAATATCAGTGTAATGTTGATCGTATAAAATTCAATTGAATAGCTTCCTACTCTGTGTTTTTGGAACACTTTGTATATAGTAGGTTCCCCAATTAAGGCAGCACCCCAATATTGGGTCCATGACCAAAGGAGCAAAACCGACACAAAACGAAAATTAGGCAAACTTTATTTCCATGCCTAGCATTGGGAAACAGATTGGCTGGTCAGGGACCACCTTGGCAGACCCTGGGCAGCTGTCCAACCCCGTTTTTATTATAATTAGCCATGAGCGGCAAGCCAGTCACTTACAGGTGACCAATAACGTTATAACATTCATACAAATCTGCCACTCACCACTTGCAGGTGGCCAGTGAGGGTACAACTTATCGCTGAGTAGTTGTTCAAACTTGCCAATTACACGGCTTGGTTTCAGTGTGCAGGGGTTAGTAACTGGTGAGTAGGGGGCTACATATATGCTTGTTACTGATTGGATCCGTTCACCTGGCTCCTGGCCTTTGTTCTCTGAGCTCTGTTATCAGGAATTTACAGCCCACAGTTTACTAAATTTCCTGGGTTTGTTAGTTCCTCAGAGCTGATTCTGTTCCTATGGGTGTCAGGGTTAATTTTTGTTTAGACAGGATGGATATTTTTTTTTTTTTTTTTGGGTCGGTCGTGGGGCCTGAACTCTGGGCCTGGGCGCTATCCTTCAGCTCTTCAGCTCAAGGCTAGTGCTCTACCACTTGAGCCACAGTGCCACTTCCGGCTTTTTTCTTTTTGCTTATGTGGTGCTGAGGAATCGAACCCAGGGCCTCTGGCATGCAAGGCAAGCACTCTACCACTGAGCCACCTTCCCAGCCCAGGATGGATATTTTAACTGGTCAGGTACTCTTTGGCACTAATGTGAGGACAGGTAATGCTTATAAGGAGGGTAGCACGTACTGAGTACTGTTATTAGAATGGGGTCCCAACAGTGTAGAATTAGTTTTCTTTTATTTAGATTTTGGCCTGGGACAGAGTTTTACTATGAGGTCCGAACTCTTGATCTTCTGCCTCAGTCTCCTAAAACTGCTGAATTTACAGGTGTGGGCCACCACATCTGACCTATGGAATTAGTTTTTTTTTTTTTTTTGGTGGTTGGTTGTGGGGCTTGAACTCTGGGCCTGGGCGCTGTCCCTCAGCTCTTCAGCTCAAGGCGAGTGCTCTACCACTTGAGCCACAGCACCTCTTAGGCTTTTTCTGCTTATGTGTTGCTGAGGAATAGAACTCAGGGCCTCATGCATGCGAGGCAAGAACTCTACCACTGAGCCACCTTCCCAGCCCCTGATCTTTTTTTTTAATTGTCGTTGGTGGGGCTTGAACTCTGGGCCTGGGCACTGCCCCTCAGCTCTTCAGTTCAAGGCCACCACTCTACCACTTGTGCCACAATGCCACTTACTGTGATTTTATAGAGAAGTTGTCTGGACCTAAACATTTTTTTTTTTGTGGGTAGTTGTTTGGTTACTATTTGTTATGATTTGAATATGAAATGTCCTCCATAAAGGTGAACTAATTGCATCTTAAAGCTATGTCCCCAGCTGTTGAGTCTATTTAAGGGGTAAAGCATCTTAGAGGAAGTAGGTCACTGAATATGTGGTGGGTGCAGTTGTGCATCTTGGTCCCTTTCTTTGATCTGCAATGAGGTGAACAACTTTGCTTCTTTACACCGTTTGGCCATGATTTGTGCCCACTATGGCTCAGAAACAAGTTGGTCATAACCTCTGAAACCATTAACTACTAAAATAAGCTTCACTCTTTTTTTTTTTTTTTTTCTTAATGCCGGTCCTGGGTTTGACATTCAGGGCAGGGTGCTGTCCCTGGTAGTTCATTGAAGAGAGAGTCTGAGACTTGCCTGCCTGGGCTGGTGTCAGAGCTCACCTTCCTGAGTGGTTAGAATTACTGGTGTGAACCACTAGCACCTAGCTTCTCTCCTTAGATGGGTAATGTCACATGTCTTGTCACAGTGACAAACTGATATTCCAGTGAAATTTCTAGATGATTTATATTTCCCATTGGATCAGATTTGGCCAAGTATGGGGAATTGTCCAATACTAGCAGAGAGTTGTTCACAGGTATTCCTTGCTCCTTTCCCTTTTTTGCTGGTTCTGAGAATTGAGCTCTTAGTTATTTCACTTGAGGAGTGCACTCTTAGCATTTGAGCTATATCCCATACCTCCACCTCTAGCTTTTTGCTGGGTAATTGGAGATGAAGCTCATGGATTTCTTTCTGCAGACTGGCTTTGAACGTAGATCCTCTTTTTTTGGCGGGGGGGTTCGGTCGTGGGGCCTGAACTCTGGGCCTGGGCGCTGTCCCTCAGCTCTTCAGCTCAAGGCTAGCACTCTACTTATTGAGCCACAGCGCCACTTCCAGCTTTTTTTCTTTTTGCTTATGTGGTGCTGAGGAATAAACCCAGGGCCTCAAGCATGCAAGGCAAGCACTCTACCACTGAGCCACCTTCCCAGCCCTGAACCTAGATCCTCTTATGTCTGCTTCCTGAATAGCTGGGATTACAGGTGTCAAGTTGCAGGAAAAGAATATTCATAGGAAAAGTGCAAGTAGATCCTAGTTCAGACTTCGTGTTCCAGACCTCCTTTGCTCTAGGAGCTGGATGGATGCAAACTTTAGCTGTGCAGTGCAGAGTCACATGGTCTCTGAAAACAAAAGTATAAAAACTGGTGGGGCAACAGTGGCTTGCCTGTAATCCTAGCTACTCAGGAGGCTGAGATCAGAGGATTGTGGTTCAAAGCCAACCTGGGCAGAAAAGTCCCCATGAGACTCTTACCTCCAGTTAACCACTCAAAAACCAGAAGTGGTTCTGTGGCTCAAGTGTAGCGTGCTAGCCTTGAGCAAAAGAGCTTAGGGACAGGGCTCAGGCCCTAATTTCAAACTCCAAGACTCTTGCAAAATAATTTTTTTTTGTTGTCAGTCTAGTAGCTTTAACTCAGGGTCTGGGTGCTGTTCCAGAACTTCTGCTTAAGGCTAACCCTCTACCACTTGAGGCACAGAGCCACTTCCAGCCTTTTCTGTTTATATGTGATACCGAACAATGGAACCCAGGGCTTCATACATGCTAGGCAAGCACTCTACCACTAAGCCACATTCCTAGCCCAAAGTTTTTTTCTTTTTAAGAAATTAAATTTGTACAAAGTCCAATTTTTAAAATTGTTATTATCAAGGTTGATATACAGAGGTGTTAACAGTTGTATAGGTCAGGTAAAGTGAGTATTTCTTTTTGGGCAATATCACCCTTCCCTCAATCTCTCCCAGTTTTCCCCTCCCAGCCCCACCCACACGTATAGTTCATTTTCAGCCTAGTGTCCAGTGAGTACCACTGTTGTGTTTGTTCACCCTTTGCCCCTCCATTTCTGTTTTGGTCTGTTTTTGCTATGTAGTTGATGCTGACCTGGAAGTGACAGTGCTCCTGCCTCTGCCTCCTGAAAAGGCAGCAGCACCACACCTGCTATCCTGCTGCCATCAAACTGCCACCTATGCCTGGCGTATTGTCAGGGCTTTCCAGATGGTTAAGACCACCACCCTCCAAGAGATCGCATTTCTTTCAGGTACTGCCTACAGGGTTTTAAAATGACATACGTGGTAAAAGTCCAAGGCTCAGTGACACATTTGTTGGTTCGTTGTATTTTCTCTGTGGTGCACCCTTTCCCTTCTAGGGAATGATAGAACCATGATAGTTAGGGATTGCCTGCTGTGTGTGTGACTATGAAGTAATTGGGCATTAACCTACCTATGTTCACTGCACCACAGTATACAGTGGTGAATGGATCAAGAAAGTGTATTTATATCCACATGCTTTTTATTATTATTATTATAAAGGTGATGTGCAGAGGTGTCATAGTTACATACGTCAGGTAATGAGTGGACTTCACTTACACAATGACAGCCCTTGCCTCACTCCCAGTTGTTTTCCCCTCTCATCCCTAACTACAAGTTGTATAGTTCATTTTCCACAGTCTCATGCTTTTACCTGCAGTGGCTTTGGACTTTAAGCTTTTGCTCTTTCCTGTCTTCATTTCCCAAGCTGCTTTTGGCAGCACTTCACAACATTCCTTTGACAGTGGGAATTGTCAGCATGCCCAGTCTTCTTATGGGGGAGGTAGAGGGGTCATTGTTAAATAGTCTGTTGTAGAGTATTTTCTCTAAGTGCAAGTCCCTGGTGTGAGGAAGGAAGTAGAGAGGGGAGATGAGGAAGGAAGGAATTAAACAATGGTTCTTGGCACTGGTGGTACATACCTGTCTGTCCTCCTAGAGGAGGCTTGAGATCCGACGGTTATGATTTGAAGCCAGATGGAGCAGGAAAGTACATGAGACTCTTACTTCTAAACACCAGAAGTAGAGCTCTGCCTCAAATGGTAGAGCATCAGCCTTAAGCAAAAAAGCTCAGGAACACCCATGAGGACCAGTATCAACACCAAAATAAAGTATCTAGTCCAAAAGTACTGTGAGACAGTCTCAATAATAGGTCATTGGGACAGCTAAGGGGCTAGACAGTGGGTAATAGAGAGCTACACATATTTGGCAAAGGAATGATTCCTTTCCTGAAGAGGATGGTGGTAGAGTGGAGAGTCCATTATACTACTTCAAAGGGCACCCATTATAAGTGATCAGGAGTTGTTTTACTCCTGGAGTTTTTTATTTAATACTTTTAAACTTTGACTATCTACTTATAACCAGCCATAGGAAAAATGTTCATACAGGGTAATTCAGTACTTATAGTAGCCAAGAAGAATCAAACAGGATGTCATGGAAGGTTAAGAAGAAAAGGAATGGATAGATACATATGAATTGAGGGCATTGGTGGCTCACACCTACAATCATAGCTACTCAGGTTGAGGAAATTTGAGATGCGAATATTGTGATTGAAAGCTGGCTCTTTTTTTCTTTCTTCTTCTTTTTTTGGTGGTCGTGGATCTTAAACTCTGGGCCTGGGTGCTGTCCTTGAGCTGCTTTTACTCAAGGCTAGCATTCTACCACTTGAGCCACAGTGCTACTTCCAGCTATTTCTGTTAATATGGTACTGAGGAATCAAATACAGGGCTTCATGCATGCTAGCAAGCACTCTACCACTGAGCCAAATTCCCAGCCTGTCCTTGAGATTCTTAGCTCCAGTTAATCAAAAAGCTGGACGTAGACCTATGACTCAAGCAGTATTGCACTGTCTGTGAGCAAATAAATAAAAATAGAACGCTTAGGCCCAAGTTCAAAGCCTAGAATACTTTTGAGTTATGACAGTGTCTTTGCGGCAACATGAATTGAGCTAGAGATCATTTAGTGAAATAAGCCACTCATAGAAGATAAGAGGTCAGTTTCATGGCAGGTAGAAAATAGTGGTTCTTAGAGACTGGGAAGGACATTGACACAGAGATACAACACATGATACAGCTACATTGGAGGAATCCTGGGATTTGGTGTCACTCTGTAACCCAGGCCAGACTCCCGAGTGCTGGCATTACAGTATACTTAACCACTGGGCCCAGCTTAGTGCCAGTTTTCTGTAACCAGGTCATAACAATCTTTTTTTTTTTTTGTCGGTCGTGGGGCTTGAACTCTGGGCCTGGGCGCTGTCCCTCAGCTCTTCAGCTCAAGGCGAGCGCTCTACCACTTGAACTACAGCACCACTTCAGATTTCCTGGTGGTTTATTGGAGATAGGAGTCTCACGGTCTCTCCTGCCCGGGCTGGCTTTGAACCGCGATCCTCAGATCTCAGCCTCCTGAGTAGCTAGGATTACAGGCGTGAGCCACCAGCACCCGGCTAACATAACAATCTTATATTCTGTCATTTTGTTATTTTTTTTCTCTGATGTACTTCAAAATAGTAAAGAGTAGGAAAGTTACAAAAACAAATGCACTCTCATTTGCTTTTTCTCTCAAGGCAGGCACTCAGCTGCTTCAGCCATACCTCTGCTTCTGCATTTTGCAGGTTCATTGGAAATGAGTCTGACCAGGAGTCTCAGATTTTAGCCCCAGGCATAGCCACCATTGGTTGGTGGCTTCTGTACTTATGGAATAACTGTGCTATTTGATCCTGTTATGCAGATGATAAATATGTAATAGTCTGACACTGCTTGATTTCATTGCAGGACTGTTGACCAACCTTTGCACCACTTGACGAGTGCTTGGACTATGCAGTCTCATCTACAGTGAGTCACAAACCACAGTGTGCACAGAGGACACATAATGGACAATTAGCCACCCTTCTCTAAGTTAAGGTACTCTAGTTTTCTTGTACTTTTTCTTTCTGTAGTCCTGTCTAGGAAGTAAACAGATACAATGTGTTCCAGAATTTTACTTCCTTGATGCATATTCTATCTATTCTGTTCTTTACTTTATCCTGTTTTTTGTTCACTCCTGTTCTTCATTGAAAGCAGAGAAGTAGAAGTCTTTGTTTCATTAAATTGCCTTGTCTTTGTGGCTCTCTCGGTACACATAGGTTTACAGTATCTTTGAACTCAGTACCATATACTTGCTAGGCAAGCATTTGAGCCACCACCCAGTCCTTTAATTGCTATATCTGTAGCCAAGTATGATAGTACACTATTGTCCCAAAACTCTGGAGGCCAGAGTAAGTTAGAGGAAGTTTGTACTACAGAGCAAGGCTTAACTCCAGCCTGGGTGCACAGCTGGACTATGTCTTATAACAAAAATAATAAATAGCCGGGCACTGGTGGCTCATGCCTGTAATCCTAGCTACTCCTGGGGCTGAGATCTGAGGATCATGGTTTAAAGCCAGCCCAAACAGGAAAGTCCATAAGACTCTTATCTTGGAAAACTGGAAGTGGTGCTGTGGCTCAAGTCTTGAGCTGAATAGCTGTGGGACAGCGCCCAGGCCCAGAGTTCAAGTCCCAGGACGAGAAAATAAATAAATAGATTCATCAAAACATTTCTTGGTTTGAGTGTAGAGCCAGTAGTAAGAATGTCCTGCTGCATATATAAGTACAGTACAGTTTATATTAAAAGAAGAACCTGAGCCGGGCGCTGGTGGCTCACGCCTGTAATCCTAGCTACTCAGGAGGCTGAGATCTGAGGATCCCGGTTCAAAGCCAGCCCGGGCAGGAGAGACTGTGAGACTCCTATCTCCAATAAACCACCAGAAAACCGGAAGTGGTGCTGTGGCTCAAGTGGTAGAGCGATCGCCTTGAGCTGAAGAGCTGAGGGACAGTGCCCAGGCCCAGAGTTCAGGCCCCACGACCAGACCCAAATAAATAAATAAAATAAAAGAAGAACCTGGATTTATGGTTGAAAGAAATATGAAGGGACTGGGAAGGTGGAATAATGGAAGTGATATTAGAATTTGATTCTTTTTAAATTTATTTTTGTTGGTCCTGGAGCTTGAACTCAACCTGGGAACTGTCCCTGAGTCTGTGCTCAAGGCTAGCACTTTACCACTTGTGCCACAGAGCCACTTCTGCCTTTTCTGTTTACCTGGTACTGAGGACTCCAACCCAGGGCTTCATGGATGATAGGCAAGCACTCTACCACTAAGCCACATTCTCAGCCTAGAATTGGATGGTTTTTGTTTTTTCTTTTGGTCCGTCATGGGGTTTGACCTGTGGGCTTGGGTGTTATACTGTCCTTCTGCTCTTCAGTTCAAGGTTAGTGCTCTATAACATGAGCCACAGAGCCACTTCTGATTTTCTGATGGTTTATGGGAGATGAGAGTCTCACAGATTTTCCTGCCCTGGCTCACTTTGAACCACGATCCTCAAATCTCAGCCTCCTTCTAGCTAGGATTACAGGCAGGAACCTGTGGTGCCTCACTTAGAATTTGGGACAGTGCCCAAGCCCCAGGGCTGCTAACTGAAACAAACAAAAAACATGTAAACCCAAAACCAAGACAACCTCTTTGGACAGTTAGAGCATGAATTTCAGGAAGAATATGTCTTGCCAGGAGGGGTGGGCTAAAGAGAGATGGACAAATAGAGGAATGGTGGGTTAATACAGTCATAATACTCAATATACATCCGTGAAAATGGAACTGGGAAACGTGAGGCAAGTGGAGTAGGGGATTAAGACCCCTTGTACACATTAATAGATAATACCACATTGAAAGTCCCGTACAGCTATTTGGAAATACTAGAAGAAAATTTATTTTAAAACCTTCCCCACAAAAAATACATAGTTGTGGGGCTGAGAAGGTGGCTCAGTGGTAGAGTGCTTGCCTTGCATGCATGAGGCTTTGGGTTCGATTCTTCATTATCACATAAGCAGAAAAAGCTGAAAGTGGCGTTGTGGCTCAATTGGTAGAGCGCTAGCCTTGAGCTGAAAAGCTGAAGGACAGTGCCCAGATTTGAGTTCAGGCCATAGGACCGACCAAAAAAAAAAAGTTGTGAAGAGACAAGTTTATCCATGTTTGTGTGGTAGAGCATGGGAAATGGGAGTCTGGGGTCTCAGTGTTGAGGAATACTCATTGTCTTGGAGACTGTGTGTGTGGGAATGACCCGACTGACACAGGTATGTATCAGAAAAAGGAAGGATAATGCCAATTTACTTATTGATTTTTATTACTATTAATCTTTTGTGCTCAACGTTAGCACTCTACCTCTTGAGCAACAGATCAACTTCTGACTTTGGTGGTTAGTTGGAGATGAGACTCTCTTGGACTTTCTAGCTCTTGATTTAATCGTTTTCTAGAATTAGTCACACAACTCCATAAAAGCACATTGCTTATGTATGCATTAGGTTATTATGAAGAGGTAGAGAACAGCTCAGGAACAATCACATGTACTCAGCGGCCTGAGATCTGAGGATCATGGTTGGTACAAAGCCAGTCTGAGACTCTTTACTGTTAACCAACATAAAGCAAGAATGGACCTGTGGCTTAAGTGGTATAGCACTAACCTGGAGTGAAAAAAGGAGCAGCATATGATCCCTGAGTTAAAGCCTCAGCATGAGCACACACAAAAGCTTTTCTCTCACTCAGGAAATGCCAAGGCTTTGAGCATGTACAAGGAGTTTCAGAACAAAGACAAAATAGGTTTCTCTTTTTACTTCTAAAGCAGAATACTAGCAGGCAGTGAGCCAAGATACCCTGGGTGTAACAAGTGGAGAACAAACTGATTATATAGACAGTGTGTTTGGACAGCATTTTTTTAAAGGTCTTTTTGTATTTGTTTGTTTTTGACACGGAGGTCTCATGATGATGCCCAGATAGGCCTTACTTTTCCAATCCTCCTCGCCCATTTTCCTGCTAGCTGTGATTACAGGTCTGTGTTGTTTTATTTATTTTTATCAAGAAATTTTGTGAGAATACAAGGTGACAAGGTAACATTTTTAAGAACTTTTGTTTTGGTGCCAGTACTAGTGCTTGAACTCAGAACATGGACACTGCTTCCAAGGTGTTTTATGTATATATTTTTGCTCTCGGCCAGAGCTCTACCACTTCACGCACAGTCCCACTTCTGGCTTTTGAGTGATTCGGTTGACAGTCTAGCAGACTTTGAACCTCAGATTTTAGCCTTCTGAATAGGTTGGATTACAGATGTGAGACACCAATGCCCAGTAAGAATTTTTTTTTACTATATTTGCAAAGTTTCATTGTTTGCTTACAGCTAGAATGGATTGCTTAAAGAATTTTTTGACGTAATGTTTTTTGCCAGTCTTGGAGTTTGAACTCAAGGCATGGGCACTGTCCTTGACAATCTCTGTGCTCAAGGCTGGCACTCTCCCACTGGCACCAAAGAACACTTCCAGCTTTTTCTGTGTATGTGGTACTGAGGATTCAAACCTAGGGCTTCATGCAGCCTAGGCAAGCACTCTTACCACTAAGCCACATTCCTAGCCCCACAAAGAGGTTTTTTTTTTTTTTTGGTCAGTCTTGTGGCTTGAAGAACTGCATGTGGGTGCTGTCCATCAGCTCCTCAGCTCAAGGCTAGCGTTCTACCACTTGACCCACAGTGCCACTTCCAGTTTTCTGAGTGGTTTATTGGAGTTAAGTTTCATGGACTTTCCTGAATTTTTTGCCCAGGCTGGCTATGAACCACAATTCTCACTATTCAACCTCCTGAATAGGTAGGAGTGAGCCACCAGTGCCTGGCCCTAAATTGTTTTTTTAATGAGCAAATTCAGGGTCAAGGATTTAGCTCAAGCCGGGCTCCAGTGGCTCTCGCCTGTAATCCTTGCTACTCCCGAGGCTGAGATCTGAGGATCGCCATTCAAAGCCAGCCCAGGCAAGAAACTCTGAAACTCTTATCTCCAATAAATCACCAGAAAACCGGAAGTGGCACTGTAGCTCAAGTGTAGCTCAGTGTAGAGCGCTAGCCTTGAGCTGAAGAGCTGAGGGACAGTGCTTAGGCCCAGAGTTCAAGCCCTAGGACTGACAAAAAAAGAAAAATTTAGCTCAGTGGTAGAATAAGTGCTTAATATATCTGAGTCTCTCGGCTTAATGTCCAGTACTATAAAAAAAATAAAAGTTATACTAAGTGAAACCTGAAAGTGAGTGCTGCTTAAATATAGCAATGATAGCCAGGTGCTAAGGAGAAAAGTCCATGAGACTCTTATCTCCAATTAACCACTAGAAAACCTGAAGTGTTGCTATGGCTCAAGCGGTAGAACCCTCACCTTAAGCTGAAGAGCACAGGGACAGTGTCCAATCCTAGAGTTCAAGCCCCGTGACCAACAAAAATAAATAAATGATAACCATGACTGCATGTGTGATGGATCCATTATTACTCATCTCATTACTTTTCATCTATGATTAACGATGTAATTGGTCTAAAGCTTCAGTAATGATATGATTTGCTATAAATTTTCTATGTAGACAAAGCAACATTTGTTTTAATTTTTGGTGCTGGTCCAGAGATTGAAGTTAGGAACTGGGAGTTGTCCTTAGCTTTTTTTGCTCAAGGCTAGGGCTCTACAACTTGAGCCACAGTGTCACTTCCAGCTTTTTTTGAGTAGTTTATTTGAGTAGTTTTTTTGAGTAGTTTATTGAGTAGTTTATTGAGTAGTTTCCTGCCTGGCTGTCTTCAAACTAAAATCCCCAGATCTCAGCCTCTCTCAGTTAGCTAGGATTAACACCTGAACCAAACAGGATTTGAAACAATTTTAACACTTTCATTTTAATCTTTCTTGAAGGTTCATGACATTCAGAGCACCACAGTGCTCCTCTATCAGATCAGCTATGAACTGGAATACGAAACCTCCGTCATACTCGAAAAGTCAGTCATCTTTGTTGCATAAGTGGTTAAGGAACCAACTCAGTCCGGTGACTCAGAGTTCTTTCAGCTCTCCTGGAAGTTCACAGGAGCCATGCATGTATTCCAGTGAGTCACATCCAGCCTCGCAGCCACTGCTGAATATCCCAAATTATACAACTCAAATCTTCGATACTAATATGCAGAACAGGATCCCTGTGTCCCCACAAACTTCTCTTGAACAAAGAACTTATACAAATGTTTCTGGACCCCAACTCCCAAATCTTAATTTGCAAAAGTCAACTGGCATTATGCACAATGTATGGTTGAACTTGCCCATTACAAATTCTCTGCCTTATTCAGAGGTAGCTGTAGCTCATCAAACTAACTTGGGAACTAAAATGCCTAATGTCCACACCCTACAGGGTCACATTGTCCCAGCAGAAAGTTATACTGCGCAACTGCAAATGGCTCCTTCAAGTTCTCTAAGAAGTTCTGTATCTGTTCAAGGAAATGAGAGAATGAACCCTTCGCTATTAGATGCACAGCAGTATATGTCTCCTGAGCTGGCATACCCAGATTACAGGCCACTTACAAAGCAGTACTCCCATTCCACTCCACAGGCCGTAGTACAAGAACCCAGTATTCAGAAACCAACCTCTATGCCATCTACATCATTGCAAGTTCAAAACAGCCTGCTTCCAGTTCCTACACAGACTATACAGCCAATGGAGACTGTAGCTATAACAACCTACCAGTGTACTGCAGAGAAAAGACCCCTGCCCCCACCCTACCACCGTCATTACAGAATCCAGCCTCTTCCTAGAGCTCAGCCTGTTAATAAACAATTGTCCTCAGTGGACGTCTCCCCAAATCCAGACGTTGCCTCCTATGGAAATGGGAAAGACTTCTGTAAAGGCCTTCCTCAGCAATGGCAAAGCACTAATGAAAATAGACACACACATGAGAAATTATATAATTGGCAAGAAAACATCAATGTCAAGCAGCCTTTTAATGAGCCAGTTGAATCTGTGGTTAGTATGCAGACGTTCCCTGCAAGTAATCAAGGGCGAATGGATTCTTACATCCCAACTTCAGGTCAAATATTGAACTCCAATGATGTCACAAAAGAAAAAATCGTGCGGGATCTTAAATCACTGGTAGAAATAAAAAAGAAGTTTTCAGAACTTGCAAGGAAAATTAAAATTAATAAACATCTTTTGAAGGCAGCAAGTAGTAAAACTGAGAATACCATGTACACTGGGCCACCTCGGCCTTCTGAATTGTCTGCCAGAGCCATGCCTGCTAAAAGTGACGGCAACTGTTCCATGGAACTGCTAGCCACGTGCCTTTCTCTTTGGCAAAAGTCACCTGCACAAGCAACAGATGAAAGTGCTTCAAAGCTTTCCATGGAAAGCCAGAGTGTTGTATCCACAACAAGCACAGCAGTTGCAGTCTCCGAGCCTGTGAAAGAAGTTCCTGGGAAGAGGCTTGCTTTGGTTGAGGGAAATTCTCACAACAAAATGACCAGCCCTTCCCAAGTGACAGCTTTGTCCTTGGTCATAACCCCGAGCTTTGAGTCCCCTGCTGTAAACACAAAGGGAACAGAACCTCAGGTTGCAGTGGTTTCACCCTTAATTCTTAGTCAGGACAAAAACTTGTCTGTCAGAGGAGTGGCACTGGAATCCCCAAGTGAGCCAGTCTATCCAATTATTAAAGAAGGAAGTATCTGTAGCTTACAAGATCAACTAGCACAGAATACAAGAATACCTGCTGTTACACATGTTGATGTGAGTGGTTCAGGCTCAAGTGGATTGAGCAGACATTTCTCACTTGAGAAGGAAAAGCAGAATGAAACAGGTAGTGGGAATTCACAAGACCCACCTAATACTGATGTGAGTAAACTCTCACAAATTGAGAAGGAAAAGCAGAATGAACCAGGTATTGCAAATTCAGGAGACCCACTCAATGCTGATTTGAGGAAACTTCTTTCATTTATTGAGATGGAAAAGCAGAATGAGCAAGGTATTGGGAATTCAAAAGAACAACTTAAAGCCGATCTAGGAAAGCAGTCTCCTATGGGTGATCAGCAGACTTTGTGTAAATCAAAGCACAGTTCTTTTGTGAGTTGTGATATGTTACAGATTGGAAATATTTGTTCTCTTGTTGAAGGTAATGTAGCTTATGATTCCCAAATAGCAAGCATTTTCAAATCTTCCCATTTGAAAAAGATTGAGGCACATGAAATTTCTCCATCCTGTCCACAAATAATCAGTTGTGAACAGCAAAAAGTACATCATGCCTGTGAGAAGAAAAACTTTGATTCCCAAAAAGAGCAGTTTGTACCCAGCTCAGATAATCTTCATCAAATAACTGACCAATCAGAGTCTCAAGAGCCATCACCTGGTCAGAATGGTGATGCAAACAGAAAAGCTGAAGCAAAAAGCGTGGACTGTACTACTCAAGAAGGCCCACCTCAGGACACGTGTTACTCATCTATTCAGCCAAATACTTCCCAGGAAACCCTTCTGTCTGGCAGTAATATTGCCAAAGATCCCACAATACACGAGAGTTTCGATGATTCTGTCTTGTACCTGCAAGACCAACTATCTGAACTTTTAAAAGAGTTTCCCTATGGCATTGAAGCCATGAACACACACAAAGGGTTTGTGGACCAACAAAAGACAGCACAAGTCTCAGACAATCAAAATGGCAGTAAAATGGCCTCTTGCCCTAAGGAGTCTACAGATCAAATACAGATAACCATATTAAGCTCAGAGCAGATGAAAGAGATATTTCCTGAAGAACAAGGTCAACTTTGTGTAGTTGAAAAGTTAGAAGAACCTCAGAAAGAAAAATCTTTATCACAGGCAGAGAACCAATGTGCCTCAGCAGCACCCATGGGAGAAAACAGTTGTGAAGATAGGATGAACAAATTAGAAGAAGACAAAGTCCACTGCTGTGCCCTTGGCTGGCTCTCAGAGCTTTATGAGGGAGTGCCCCATTGTCAATGTAAAGACAGTGATAACCGCACTAAACAGGAAGATGAGGGGAAAGGGCAGTGTTCACCTTCAGAAATTAGCACCTGTAAAGAAGGGGAGAGGGCCCCTGATGAAGACGTCACTATTATTGAATGTATTAGTGTTTCAAATAAGTCTGAGACTCCTCTCACTCCAAAGCCTCAGAAAAGTCATCTTCTTGAATTACTCAGCAACGGACAAAAAGACACATCCAGAATAAAAAAGAGCCCACAGAGGGCAGCAAAAGAATTAACTCATCACATTTCTTCCAGGTGTGATGGTGACAATCAAAAGCATGCAACAAAGAAACAGTACAACTCAGTAAAGATGAGACCAGAAAGGACTGATAACTCTTCATCTAAAGATGACAAATTAGATCCCTTGCAAGGTCAGACAAGAAAAGTAAAATGGAAATTCCATGACAGCACTGTTGACATTCATGGTAAAGTGATAAGCTGTAATCGGCCAGGTTTGCAGGAAAAACTACCAAAGAACCACACCCCACAAGCTTCACAGACAGCTCCCACCCTGAGTGATCCACAGAAAACAAACAGTTCCTCGGTGCAATCCACAGCACCATCACAAAAATTAAAGTTCCGTGCTGGTGGTTCTAAAGTAAAATATCTGGAGAAGAGGAAGTTAAACCCAGGAAGCACATCGGAGCTGGAAAGAAAGAAAAAAAAAGTGGATCACCAGGAGCATGGCCATAATGTGGAAAGTTCACCAAAATTAGGTAATGTTTTATCAAGCCAAAACAAAAAGGCAAGTGAGCAAGAAAAGGTGGAATCCAATCCGGTGTCCTCCAAAAGTAGAGTCATCACAGTGCAGGAGTATTTGAAAAGGCAGAAACAGAAGCAGATGATGGAGGGTAAGTCCTCCAAGAAAACCTGTGTGGAAGGCGCACCATCTGATCCTCAAGCTTCGAGGTCCAGTAAATGCTCCATGCAAGATGGGGGCAGTGGGAAACCAAATGAGATTTGTGACAGTCTTTCCAAAGAGCCTCTCAACATTTTGCCAAGTCAGGATAACATTAAGATCCACCATCCCCCTAAGGAGTTGAAAAGACAAATCTCAAGAAATGTAAAAGAAAAAGTTGCTGGGAAGGAGTTCGACAAAACATGTCTTGATAAAAATAAATCAGAAAATACCTTGAGCATTAGAAGTAAGGAAGCAAGGGCCATCCCAAGGACTCTGCAAGTAAAGGATCGGGGGAAAAACTACCTGAACCGCGTGGCGTATAATTGCACAGAGGGAGAAAGCATTTGTCTCACCAAATTGGACAGCCTGACACAGAAACACCCTAAAGACAAGCTGAATCAGGAACCCAAACCAAAGGCTCCCTTTCCTGAAAAATCTAGCGTGTTGGAGTTTAAATTAGGCCCAGATTTGCTGTTAAAGAATACAAGCTCTGCTGAGGAACACAAAGACTTGAATGCCTGTCCCAGGAAAGAGCAGGCCCCTGTGCAAGGTCCAGTATGATTTTCTTGGCAAATGAGTAGCATCTTGTGCCTGGGTAGCCTGAAACGTGAATCTGTTACAGCAGTTACTTGGTACAGTTTGGGTAGTGTTTCTTCTGCATTGATGACCCCCTTACTGTTTTTCGTGTGAATTGTAAGTTTTGAAGTTGAGTGCTGGTGGCTCACGTATGATCCTAGCTAATCAGGAAGCTGAAACAGGATAATGGTGCCAAGCCAGGTGGGCCACAAATTCTGTGAAGGATATATCTCCCATTAACCAGCAGAAAGCTAGAAGTGGAACTGTAGCTCAAGTACTAGAACACCACCCTTGAGAGAAAAATTGAAGCAATAGCACCCAGGCCCTCAGTTCAATCCCTGTGCTGACACAGATAAAAGATTTTTAAAGCCAAGTTGGGCAGTGGTTTCTCATGGCTGTAATCTTAGCTTCATGGGAGGCTGAGATCTAAGTATCATGGTTTGGAGCCAGACCACGTATGAAAGTCTGTAAGACTCCCATCTCCAGTTAACTATCAGAGAACCAAAGTGCCACTGTAGCTCAAGTGTAGAGCACTGGCCTTCAGCAAGGAAGCTAAGGAACAGTTCTCAAATCCTGAGTTTAGGATCCAGTGCCAACACCAGAAAGAAAAACATGTATTCAGAAAAAGTATATACAAGCATACATACATGTATTTAGAATACATTAATTTGTATATTCAGTACATATATATCCATATATTTATGTGTGCATGCATATCTTATTCTGAGATACAGCGAAGCTGGCAGGGTTTATGGGGAATCAGTCATTTGTGTGATTTTCTTTTATTGGGATATGTGAAACTACCATAGCTAGGAAGATACATTGGCTTTAAAACTAGTGGTGATTTGGTCCTCAGTCTGAACTGTTGGTGTGATTGACTCAGATGTGTTGCAGGGGCATTGAATGGAGCTGTTTTTTGCGATAGTACTGGGACTTGAACTCAAAGCCTACTCTTTCTAACCCTTTTTGCTCAAGACTGGTGCTTTTCCTCTTGAGCCATATGTCTACTTTAATATTTCCAGGCCCTTTAAAAAATGGCATGGTATACATTGATATGTGTCTTATTGTCTTGCAAAATATATTTTAGGATTATGGCTTCATTATAATACTAAAAGACATGAAATATTTAAACAATTTCAGGAATAAAAAGTACAAAAGAAGACTGGTTAAAATGTGGAATGACAAGGAAAAGGATGGAAGAAAACCATCGAGAGATAGGTACAATTACCTGTTTTACGTAATTTACTTTTTCTTCATGGTACTGAGGTTCAAACCCAGGTTCAAACTTGACCCAAACCTCTAAACCCAACTTTTTGTTGCTTTTTTAAAATTTTTGTTTGTCATATGGCATGAACTCTGGGCCTGGGCACTGTTCCTCAACTCTTCAGCTCAAGGCCAGTGCTCTACCACTTGAGCCACATTGCCCACTTCCTACTTTTTCTGCTTATGAATTGCTGAGGAATCCAACCCAGGGCCTCATGCATGCAAGGCAAACACTCTACCACTGAGACACCTTCCCATGGCCCCAAAATTTTATTCTTAATAAAATGACATATAGAGGTGTTCTGGTTAGGTAACTCATGAGTACATTTCTTTTTGGATAATTACACCCCTCTTTCTGCTCTGTCCTACTCCTAATTTTTTTAGCCAATTTGTCTTAATGTGTTTTATCCCTATTTTTAGTCATAAGGTATTTTTGTTTATGCTTGGTATGGGGACATATTAGTTTCTCTGCCATACCATCAGCCATGATGGTCATTTTATTTTTCTTTAAACAAGACCATATGCTCAGTGCTAGTAATTTACACCTGTAATCCTAGCTACCCTGGAGGCTGAGATCTGAGAATTGTGGTTTAATGCCAGCCTTGGCAAGAAAGCCCATGAGACTCCTATCCCCAATTGGCCACCAAAAAGCCAGCAGTAGGGCTGTAACTCAAGTGGTAGAGTGCTAACGATAGTTCCCAGGCCTGTAGTTCAGCCACAGGACCAACAGACACCCACAAATCAAGAATATAATTCTCGGGCTGGGAAGGTGGCTCAGTGGTAGAGCGCTTGCCTTGCATGCTCAAGGCCCTGGGTTCGATTCCTCAGCACCACATAAGAAAAAGCCGGAAGTGGTGCTGTGGCTCAAGTGGTAGAGCACTAGCCTTGAGCTGAAGAGCTGAGGGACAGCGCCCAGGCCCAGAGTTCAGGCCCCACGACCGGACCCAAAAAAAAAAATTCTCATCATGCCTGGGGGGCTGAGGGTTGCCTTACATTTCCTCCTCCGCAGATATTTTAGGGTTTTACGTCTTTTGATCTCATAAGGGGTCAGTGTACCAATGCTTGAACTTGAACTCAGGGCCTGATCATCTCACTTGGCTTTTTCACTCTTCTACTTGAGCCCCAACTCTACTTTCAACTGGTAGATAGTATTACAGGCATAAGCCACTAGTGCCTGACTTCCATTTAGTTTTGATTGGTAGGTATTCATTGCCTGTAACATTAAGCTTCTATCTTCTCAGACAAAGCTAAGTCAAAAATATGCAAGAGAAGCTTCAGTGCAGATGGATCTGAGACACGGGAAAACCCAGGGAAAGATTCATCCAAGGCAGTGTTCCAGACCTACAAGCAGATGTACCTGGAAAAGAGAAGCAAGAGCCTTGGGGACAGTCCGGTGAAATGACCTGAACACATGTTTCTGGATTGGTTGACATTTTCTGTTTGGAATCCTTTTGCTGGACAATAACTCTCAGGATGGCCACAATCAAAAAATCTCAGCAGAGACTTCAGTGAACACTTAGGCCATGTGCTTCATTGAAAACCACTGCAGTAGAATAGCACAACTATCAACAAACACAGGAAGATATTTGTCAAGGCAAGCCATAAGTTAGTTGACATCCTTCTACATAGCTGACGTGTGTTCAGCTGTTAGTTTATTACTTTATGAAGATGGCTCTTACAGTCTGTCAGGCCCAAGTGAACATTGCGAGGCCATTGAGGACTTGTTTATTTAACGAGGACTGTAAATGTATTTTTGTTAATAAGCTACATTAGCAAAACTTATTTTTCTGCAGTACCAACTATGAATGTCAAAGTATGTATATTAAATATTTTATGACTAATTGTAGAGGGTTTTTTTAATCCTAGATATCTTCTTTTTGTACTTTGTCACCCAATTTTGGGTTATGCCTTGACATTATTTTTCATACTTGAAAATAAACATTTATTTTTTGACAAATTATATGAAATTTTTATGGTTCCTTTTCTTTCTGATTTCTTACAAAAGAAAGTTTGGAGAATGGGAATTCTACTTGAGCAGTTGTAAGCATTTCATAATTCAAGTGTGGGGAATTTATTTTTTGCCAGTGCTAGGGTGTTCGAACTCGGGGCCTGGGCACTGTCCTATTTTGCTCAAGGCTAGCACTCTACCACTTGAGCCACAGTTATCTTCCCTCTCTTCCCTTCCCTGCCTACGTTTCTCTCATCTTTTCTCCTCATGATTTTCCCTATACCTCTTAATTTCTGGTCCACTGGCTCACTCTTTGGTTTTCTTAGTCCATTGATCCCTAGTTTGTTAAGCTATACTGTACCTGTAACCATTTTGGCTGTATCAAAAAATCAGCAGGCTGGGAAGGTGGCTCAATGGTAGAGTGCTTGCCTTGCATGCAGGAGGCACTGGGTTCGATTCCTCAGCACCACATAAGCAGGAAAAAAAAGCCGGAAAAGGCGTTGTGGCTCAAGTTGGACCCTTGAGATGAAGAGCTCAGGGACATTGTTCAGGCCCCACAACCAACAACATACTAAAAAAATTAAAAAAATAAATCTGCAACTACAGGGCTCTGGGTTGGTGCTTGCCTTAAATAGTGTTATAGCTTGGAATTGGTTTTGCGTTTTACCTAAATGGGCAGAACAAGCTGTAGAAGCACAAGAAAAATGGCAAGCCAGTGAACCTCAACTCCCATTCATGGTAAACAGGCATCAGAGCAGTTAATGAATAACCCAGAGAGTTCTCAAAATGCTCTACAAACACTATTGGTAAACATGATGAATGCATAGATTGAAAGCCTACAAAGGGCTCTGTTTGAGCGTGATAGGGCAACCAGTCAGCCTAACCAAAGATTAATAAAGGAATTCATGGAATCCACAAACAAAGCTGAATGAATTCCAACCACTTCCAACCTTTTATTAATTGGAGATAAGAGTCTCACAGAAGCCCTAGTGCTGTTGGCTCACACTCAGAGTTGAGATCTGAGGCTTGAGGTTCCAACCCAGCCCAGGCAGGAAAGTCCGTGAGAACCCACCACCAGAAAGCTGGAAATGGCACTATGGCTAATTGTGGTCGAGTGTTACCCTTGAGCAAAAGAGCTCAGAGACAACACCCAGGCTCAGAGTTAAAGCACCATCACCAACAATACCACCAAAGAAAGTTTCAAGAGTTGCCTGTCCAGGCTGGCTGGCTTTGAACTCTGATCCTTAGATCTCAAATGTACTAAGAAATAGAAGACTGAAACCCAATTAGAAAAGCCCAAATCAGCTGGGTGCCAGTGGGGTACACTCCTGGGCAAACACCCTGGTCAGGATGAGAGAGGTCACTCAGAGTCTGCTTGTAGCAGGGTTTATATGGCTGGGGTCAGCAGGAACTTATAACATGTAACTTGTTTTGCAAGTTTGAGTAGATTCAGGCTAGTGCCCCCGAAGAATGATTGGCACAGGTGGTGTATAATTGGGACAGGTGGTGTATAAGGAAGTGGCTTTTCTTGGCTGCCTCTGCCCTCCAGCGGCCTGTCATTCTGGCATCTTTGGTTTGGAAATATAGGGTGACGCTAGTCGTCTGGCTACTTCCTGCTGGACAGGGGCATTGTGGGGCTGCATGCCGGTTGTCTAGGGCGCTGGAGGGGTAGTCAGCAGGCAAGTGTATGGGTGGAGAAGAAGAAGCTGATTAACTCCCTCTAGTCATTTCTTGGATGCGGCTCTGGATGAACCTCAAGAGGCATGGGACAAAGGGGGCCCCTGGATTGTTTTTTTTTTTTTTGGGTCCAGTCGTGAGGCCTGTACTCTGGGCCTGGGCGCTGTCCCTCAGCTCTTCAGCTCAAGGCTAGCGCTCTACCACTTGAGCCACAGCGCCACTTCCGGCTTTTTTCTTTTTGCTTATGTGGTGCTGAGGAATCGAACCCAGGGCCTCAGGCATGCAAGGCAAGAGCTCTACCACTGAGCCACCTTCCCAGCCCAAGGACCCCCTGGATTGTTAATGTTTGAGCTCCTCCTTTAGGTTGTTTAGGATCTCAATGTTTTGGTCTACCAAACCTGACTCATTAATATAAAACAACATTGTTCCTGCAAGAATAGGCATGTCCCATCTTTTGGGGCCATTAGAAGGTCCAAGGTTCTGCAGTTTCGGAGAGCAACCAGTGCCAGCGAGGTAAGTTAGCACTGGAGTGAGTTTATCTGAAAATTCATGAGCTTCGACTAGGGTCCTAGGGCTGAAGACACCTTTTTTACTACTTGGGAAATAAAGGCCAGGCCATTATCAGATTGAAGGGAAGAAGGAAGGCCAAAACGAGGAATCATTTCTGAAAGAAAAAATAAGGTTCCAAGCTGGGCGCCGGTGGCTCATGCCTGTAATCCTAGTTACTCAGTTGGCTGAGATCTGAGGATCATGGTTCAAAGCCAGCCCAGACAGGAAAGTCTGTGAGACTCTTATATCTCCAATAAACCACTAGAAAACCGGAAGTGGTGTTGTGGCTCAAGTGGTAGAGCGCTAGCATTGAGCTGAAGCGCTCAGAGACAGCACCTAGGCCCAGAGTTCAAGCCCCACGACTGCCAAAAAAAAAAAAAAAGTTCCAATTCCTGCCAGCTCTGTGGGAGCTGGAAAGGCCTCCGCCCACCCCATGAGGTTGTCTACCAGGACAAGAAGGTACCTCATCCTTTTGTGGGTGTGCATATCGGTGAAATCAGCCTGCCAGTCTTGGCCAGGCAAATTGTCCCACATTTGATGGGTTGTAAAGGCTGGCCAGAGTCCCCCTTGAGCATGTAAAACATGCCCGAGAGGCAGACTCCACTATGGTGGAAGCTGACCGTGATAAAAGAGGGGCTTTAAAAACTGAACCAGTGCCTTGGGCCCAATATGAAGTGAGGCAATAACCTGTTGAATGAGGGCCAGAGGCAAGGCCAACTTATTTCCCATAAAGATCCATCCCTGTTCTCCATCTGTGCCACCCTTCTCATAGAGAAGAGGTTTTCGGATGGGGAATGCTGAGGGGTCAAGTCTGGGACCTGTAAAAATAAAATGGGGGCCAGAGCCGCTGACTGTTGAGCGAGCTGGCATGCCACTGCGTCGGCCTTATTGTTACCTTAGGAAACAAGGGAATCATCCATCTGCTGTCCTTTACAATGGACAATAGCCACAGCTGATGGGTGGGAAAGGGCCTGAATTTGTTTTAAAATAGGGCAGGCATAAATGGGCAAGGGAACTAAAGAGGGACTTCTCAGATGAAGAAATAAAAATGGCAAAGAAACACATGAGGAAATGTTCATCATCCCTGGTGGTGA